GCCGTTGGAATTACAGGCGTGTGCCACCACACAATAAAAATATTGCCTGGCAATATTTTTTGTGATATAAATTAACCCATCTTGAATGCCCTCACACTATCTGTGCATGTGTCCATGTACAAAGAAATGTGCTAGATGCTTCTAGATAACCAAAACAAAGAAGGAACTGAGAAATGTTGCACTTGTAACATGTTTTATGGAACTAAACGTCCTCTCAATCCCATTCTTTATTGCTGAGAAGGAGTAGCAATACAAACCCAGAATTAGTCTAGAATATTCAAGTAAAAACTTCTCTCCTTCCTATTTCAATATAATCTGTACATCTTTTTAAAACTTAATAGCTTTAGGGTTTGACATCTCAAGCAATGACTGTAGATACCACCCTTCAATGTCACTCATGCTAATAAAATGCAGGTTCTCTCTTAATAAGTGGATGTAGTGAACCAAGCCTTTCTCCTTTGCAGGTAGCACTTCTGGTTGCAAATGAATTCTGGGAACAAGGAGATCTGGAGAGAACAGTGCTGCAGCAACAACCTATTGTAAAGACCTTGGAATAAAATGCATTACTTAGTAAAAATTAGTATGAATCAGTCTATTTTGTTCATTAAATATAGGGAAATTATCTTAAAAGGATTTATTTCTCTTTCTAGCCTATGATGGACAGAAACAAAAAAGATGAACTACCTAAACTTCAAGTTGGATTTATTGATTTTGTTTGTACTTTTGTATATAAGGTAAGTAAACCAATTATTTGAATGAGCCATATAATCTCTTAGATGAGAATTTTTCTCTTCAATTATAACAGCAGCAAAAGTCCACCCACCCACTCCCTCAGAGGAAAGCCATTAGGGGTGTCACTGTTCTCCATAGTAATTTTGAGATGTGACCCTAATGTCATTCAGGGTGGAATAAAAAGTGTGAGGACTCAGATGTGAACCACTTGAGCAGACCTCCTGAGCAGGCAGGAAGGACTGTACCTCCCAGTCCCAAGCCTCAGAGGCACTTAGTTACGCTCATCCCAACAGATCTGAGCACTGCACAGCGCCTTACAGCTCCTCTGCATGTGAAAAATACCAAAACTCAACTTTCCAACCTAAAATTTTCTTTAGGAGTTCTCACGGTTTCACAAAGAAATCACACCCATGCTGAATGGCCTTCAGAACAACAGAGTGGAATGGAAATCTCTTGCTGATGAATATGATGCAAAGATGAAGGAAATTGAAGAGGAGATGAAAAAGCAGGAAGAAGGAGAAGTGGTAGTAGCACAAGGTGAGATGGATTCTGCTTTTGCTCCTTACAAAGAAGCCAGAGGTCAGGGTGAGCTGAATGTCACATGACAAAAACAAACAGTAAATGTAAAATGAGTCCTGCTTTCCTGATGCAGACTGGTAATTAGTGGTTTTCAGACCCCAACCCCTAACATCCTTCAAAAAGATCTTATGTGTAATTCTATATAGATTTGACAGGAATAAACTGAAGTAGAGGTTGAAGCTAGGTGTCTTTGTCCCTCTAGAAGGTGGCTCCTGAGGCACCTCTGCAAGACTGTAAGAACAGTATCAAAACCAGAGTCTGGGATATCAGGGATACATGAGAATACAGCTTTAGACTGGTGTACCCCATTAGCTATGAAGATTCTGGGCAACTTGCTTAACCTTTCTGAGGTTCATGTTCTCTACCTAAGGTGGCTTAGAAGATGCCCAACTTAAGGAAGTCCTATATGTAAAGCTGGCCAAAGGGGGTGACTTAAAGGACACTCCCCCATATTTTTGTTTCCCAGATGTATCCACATGGTACTGTTTCACCTGGCCTGAAATTCTACTCATATAGTCATTCATTAGATTTAACATTCAGAAAGCCTGTTATAGTGCTTAGGTGCAACTGTTAGTTCATCAAATGACTGAAATGTCATCTTGAAAGTGGAATGCTAATTTCTGTCTTCCAAGTTTAGCATTCTAAAGGTTTTGTAAAGAATTCTGATTGATTGACAATAATCCACATGGAAACACCCTGAAAGATAAACTTCCTTTAGATGGTTACATTTGGTGCCATTTTAATCAATTTACAGAGGATATTTTCCTTAACAAATTTAGGGGGGCATCCTTCAACAAAATAAAAAGTTCCTGACTCTCCATATGCTTTCACTGATGTATTCATTGAGTATCAAGGACCCAAGTCAGGCAAGCCTTGGGGAAAAATTGTCCTCCTTATCTCCAAGAGTCACAATGGAGTGGTGATGGGGGGGGGGGAGCTACACATTAAGCAATCAATGCATAATCAATGTGCTGATTACAAGCTTCAGAGAGAGTATGGGTGTGTATGTGGATGCATATGCCAAGATCTTAAGACAGTAAACTTGGCTCACACAAAAAGGAGAAGTGAAAACACTGAACATTAAGAAAAAGATGTTGAGGGCTGGGGCTGTAGCTCAGTGGTAGAGGCAGTAGGTTCGATCCTCAGCACCACATAAAAATAAATTGGGCTGGGGTTGTGGCTCAGGGGTAGAGCGCTCGGCTTGCACATGTGAGACCCTGGGTTCAATCCTCAGTACCACGTTAAAAAAAAAAAAAGAAAAAGAAAAAGATGTTGAAATGCGAATAAGCCCAGTGTAATTGAAGAACTTAAAAACTGGTATGGCTGGAGTCTAGAGAGAAGGAAGCTACGGCATTAGATGAAGTTAGTAGTTCAGGGGCTACCAGAGAGCAGACTGCCTGGGGCCTGCTGAGGACTATTGTCAATAGAGGGGTTCTGACAGGAAAGCAGGAAAATCTGACTTGCACTTCAAAAATATGTGATTTTTACCAAGCTCTTGGAAAGTGAGTATTCCTTAGTATTATTAAATTTTCCCTTTATCCCAACATTATGATGAAGAGACAATCAGGTCCTTTAAGAGGCTCCTGACATTTTATTATTCAGTATACTAGAAACAGATCTTTTTACTTACATAAAAATTAACTTCTGAATTTTTTCTAGTACACACTGAATTGTTTGTAGACTAAGAATATTATTTTGTATTCCTTGGTTATCAACTTTTGTGCATCAAGTAAATTCCCACATTAAATAACCTCAATGAGAAACTGATATTAATTGGTTAACCACTTGTCAGATTATATTTTTTAAATGAACCAACTGTGAATCAAAATGTTTTCAAATGTTGAAACCCACAGTACTTGCTATAGATTAATATTATTAATTGGGCTATAAAGTTGATAAGAGAGAATATCATGAGATTTCTATATTTACATTAATTCTTATAATAATATTGCTTTTCTTATTTCTTACTAGTTGCTGAGGATTCAGGCGGTGGTGGTGTTGATGACAAAAAGTCCAAAACATGCTTAATGTTGTAAAATAATCCAACTGGTCTAAACTTCAGACATCATCTTAGTTTTGAAGAAAAACAGAAAACATTAAAAAAAAAATACAAAAAGATTCAGGAAATTTCATTCAGCAAATCATCAAGTAACAGAGTTAAGAGGATCACCAGAAAAACTATCCTGCGACTTGTATCAAGAGAATATGTATTTTTGGCCTGAAAACCCTGAAGATGAAATAAAATTCAACAAAAATGCAAAATAATACAAAAAAACAGGTGCATTTTGGGTACCAATTTGCTTTAAAAAAATGTGGTCCTGAAACTAGTCACAGGTTTTAAAAAGTTTTAATTATATTTACTTGCTAAGGCTGAATAATAGAGTACCTACCACAGATCTTTTTACTTACAGAATGGGTGGCTTAAACAACAGAAATTTATTTTCTCACAATTCTAGAAGCCAGAACCCACCCAGAAGTGCAAGACCAAGGAGGTGCTGGCAAGGTTGGTTTCTCATGAGGCCTCTCAACGTGGTCTGTAGCTGGCCATGTTTCCCCTGTGTCTTCAAAGTCATCCCTCTGTGTTTATGTCTAGTTTCCTCTTCTTATAAGAACACCAGCTCTAGCACAAGGTGCACCCAGTAATATGAATGAATGATAATCAGAATGAATGATACAATATGTATAATTAAGAAATAATAAGTCATCACTTTGGGTAAGTACTGCCATGTACTCCTTATTTCCATTACTTAATGTTGAGACTCCACTTCTAAGATCACATAAGAAATTATTCTTTAAGCTTTATTTTTAAAGTTTTAACCCCTGGACACCAAGTCAGTTCAAATAACTTCCCTTCTCAGTCACCAGAAACTGAGCTGCGGGTAGCAATGTGCCACCACTGAAGGTCTGCCAAATATACGAACTCTGCTTCAGAGCAATTGTAAGGAAGCATAATCTCAAACCCTCCAGACCAAGGGTCCACTGACTGCATTGAGGTAAACTGTGAAATAGGTATGTAGGAGAATTAATGTTTAAACTATCATTTTGGAGCACTTTTCAAATATTCCTTAAAATAGGACTTATAGGAGAGGGATATAGCTCAGTTGGTAGAGTGCTTACCTTGCATGCACAAGGCCCTGGATTCAAACCCAAGCAACACACACACACACACACACACACACACACACACACACACAAGAACTTTCATCATCTGTCATTATGTTGAATGGATTAAGTATTTTAATTTTATGTAACAATCTAAATTTATCATTGAACTTGATACATAAACTCAAACTTGCACTACCAAATATAAGGATCTATTTTAAAAGGGTATTTAGATATTTTTCCAATTAACATTAAATTCTGTAAGAAGAGGACTATATTTTTATAATAAGAATATTTAATTACATATATTTCACTTCTAATAATTTTACTTTTGGACCTTTTAAATATTTTTCTTAGAAATCAAAATTCCTTTTTATTTCAATGTAAAGTTGTGAGATGAAAAAACAATACCTTCAAGAAATGAGGGAACTTTCACATGATATTTAACATTAATAAACCTAACACCAATTTACTATTTTCTAACAAGTTCAGAAATGATTGCATAATTATTTCCTAGACAGTTTCTTTACAGCAATGCCTAGCACAGTGCCTTACATGTAATAAAAGCCTGATAAATACTTGTGGAATTAATGAATAACAACTGTTTAATAAAAGGAAAATTTCTGATATTAACCCTTTTACAGTAAGACACTAAATTACTTAGTTTTCAACTTCATGCCAATCATTTCATGTTTAAATGTATATCAAGGAGCTATGGATGAAAGAGAATTACAGATGAGCATCTGATGGGAAGTGTGTCTGCTAATGAACTCAGGAAGCATTAGACATCCTGAGAGTGGCTGAATTTTTATTTCCAAAGACCAACCACTCAAACTGCAACCTATAGATAAAAATTTTATGAAGTTTTGAAGTATATTTTCACATTAAGGAATGCAGGCTTTCTCTCTCCCATCTCACAGAAACAAATCCTGAAAATACTCATCAAATTCTTCTTCCCTGTTTAAAAGAAAAAGTATAGTTATTAAAACCAATAGAATAAAAAATTATTTGGAGACACATTATGAGATTAATAAAAACACTGAGTCTTGTATGTATCAATATTTCCATGAATAGGTCACAGAGTAATTCTTAAGTTTCTAAAATAACCGAAACCATACTCAAATTTATTAAAATTAAAATAATTTACAAGTTGACACCTCTCCCAAAATGTAATACCTAAGATTTTGCTTTAAAGTACTCTGAAATGTCACTGCTTCTCTTTACTTTTTGATTTACTTTATACCTTCTCTATTCATTCTCAATTCAAACTATATTCTGCTGAAAAAGTGAATGAAAAAAAGTTATTTTTAAGGAAAAAAATACTTGTCTTACTTCCAAAACCAGGGAGATTTTGCTTATAGGTTGCAGACTTCCAAAACCAGGGAGATTTTGCATAGGTTATAGTATTTTATTATATTGAAAACAGTAAATATATTATGTATTAGTAGCAATAATTTTTTTTTTCAATACTGGGAATTGAACTCAGGGATCCTCTACTACTGAGCTATAGATACATTCTTAACCCTTTCTATGCTTTATGTTGAGACAGGGTCTTGCTAAGATGCTGAGGCTGGCCTTAAACTTGTAATCTCCTGCCTCAGCCTTCAGAGTCACTGAGATTACAGGTGTGCACCAGGCCTGGACCAAGAATCTTATATCTAAAACAAAGAACAGAACTCTGGAAGGAGATATGAAATTAGATTACAGGGCTGGGGATGTAGCTCAGTGGTAGGGTGCTTGCCTAGCATGCATGAGGCTGTGGATTCAATCTCTAGTACTGCCCCAAACAAAAGAAGAGTTCCCCCTTAAGAGTTCAGTGTATAAAAATACTATGAAAAATGTAAAGTACTAAATAAATATGAGTGCAAGGAGCCAGTGTGAGACAGTGGAAATAGCAGAATTTGAAATTGCACCCTGTATAGTTCTAGCTCTGTTATTCATTAGCTATGTGAACAAGTTATTTCTTTATACTCGGTTTTAACATCTGTAAAATAAAGATAATTTCTATTCCCACTTAAGAGTTGTTGTGAGGATTAAATGAACACATAGGTGTTTTTCTTCTTCTGGGAACACAGAATAAAATGGATAATAAAAATTAGCCTACTGATCTCTTTTAAAAAATTATCTTTTAGATCAGATATGTCTAATAGGACCATATCATTTGGTTTAAAATAACTTAGAATGCATAAAGCCAACAAAAATATGTCCAAGTTGAAAGGAAAAATTACAGAATCAAATAGAAATGATTAAAGAATCATCTGCAATTTGATATTCTCCATATGCTATTTTTTCACTAGTAATAACAGTACTAACTATAGTTAGAAAACTACAGAAATTATATATATGAAATTGGTGAAACCTCTACATGGACTTAGATGCTCAATGTCAAAAGAGTTGAATATATAAAAGTTTTATATTATGAAAGCCTTCTTTCATGGGATTTACTCAGGTCTCTTTATTGCCCAAAGAGATGAGCTGAGGCAAACACCTTTTCTGCTATTCTCAGCTATAAAGCCCCTCAAGGAGAGGTGCTCAACAAATGGTTAGAGGTTTAGTTAGTCATTTAAATTGAACACCAATATTTTATTTACAGCAAATGCTTTTTAAATAAATTGATCTATAATAATCATACTTTGGGAATTCTTTGAGGGAAAAAAAGGTTGCCACAGAAAAAAAGTAATTTTGCTTAAATACCTCTAACACACCTAAATTCTATCACACTGAGGACATACCATATAATCAGCAAAATATTTTATAAGTAGTTTAAAGTAATAAAGTATAGTTGATTCAACAAGATCTCTTTTATGAACCAATATGGCTAGGGACTGAAAAACGGGGACTAAAATTTATTGAGCATGTATTACATTTATTTGTACCAGGTGGTTATCTTCTTAATTCTATTTAATCTTCACATTAAACTCTACATGGTATTTTATCTCCTTCTAATAGATAAAATTCAAGCAGTGAACATCCCAATATATGACAAAACTGACAATATTTCAGCCCATATTCAGTCAGTGTTTCCTCTTCCACCTATAGTAGAAATAAACGCACTGAGTTATCCATCTTTGGGGAGCTAAGGTGGGTGTTGGTAAGTCTACTTCTTCACCTGTATATATCTTTAAGGGGTTCTTCAGTAGGGATTTTTGACAATCACAGTAACATGGAACAGACTGCCCTGGAAGTTGGTAAACAGTCTTCTCTAAAGAAATCCAAGGAAAGACCAGACCATTTGTTAGGAGGAGCTGATGAAAGGTGTATTCACCACGAGGAAGATAGAGACAGACATTGGCTATTTATGACCATAAACAATGGCTGGGAAAAAACTTTCTTCTTACCAGGCTAGCTAGTCATTGGTATTAAACTGACATTCATGATGTTAAATTTTTTCCTTGTTATCAAGAGTGGCTGTGGTCATAGCTACTTAAAATGGTTAAATAGGTCTGTATTATCTATTAGTATGAGTACTTACTGTGATTTTTCATCTGTCTCTGGTAGTGGACCCTTCCAGAGCTCAGACTCGGAAACACTTTCTTCCTCATCAGAGTTTCCTGTTCATTTAAAAGACATTTTTGAAAAACGTATTATATTTAAAACACATTTTGAACTACTCATCAATGCAATTAAATTAATGTTGAACTTAATTGAAATTCAAATTCAATTTTTATATGATTCTCTGGAAATTTAATTCACTCTTCCAGGTACAATAAATTATTTTAATTAATAAATAATGTGACAAATACCAGAGTCTCAGCAAAAAGGCCAAGAATTAATGTCTCATGAAAAACTTCCCTAAGTTACTTTGCATTAGAATAGCAATTCCAACATTAACTCTTATAAGAAAAATTTTCTTGCAATATAATTGATTTAGTTTCTTCTTTTTCTTGGTCATCAAAAAAGAAATCAAAGTTAAGATTCTGAGAGAGCATATTTATATTAGGACCTATACCTCAAGAACTGAATTAGTATATAAAATATCCAGTTAAATTGTGAAAAAATAATTGTCAAGACATTTAGTTAAATTAATGCTAATTAGAAGAAGAAGCCTGTTTTGGTGAAGAAACAGTTATTCTTAAATCATTCAGAGTAAAAATTCTGTAATCTTTTTTTCTTAAAGAAAATATGGCAACACAGAACAGTTTAAAAGCACATAACCTTTGACCAGCAATGTTGCTTTTAGGAATTCGATTGTTTACTTCAAATAAATAAGCACCTCAGATACATATGTATGAAGAAGCACACTGTAAAACAACAAAACATGATAACCTAAGTCCCCACCAATCAGGGACTAAGATTGGTTAAATGAATATTTACAGCTGTTCAAAAACCTTAGCTCATTTGTATGTGTTGCCAAGGAAAAAGATCTATGCTATATTAATTTTTTCAAAGTTACAGAAGATATGCATAGTATTATCTAATTTATGTTAAAAAATCATTTATACTTATTATATGTATATAATGTAAGTTTACACATGTATATTGAGTTTGTAATGTAAGGATCAACCAAACTTTCCAGTGATTATATTACTAGGATCCTGGGATACTTTTACTTTCTACTTTAAACATCCAAATTTCTTGTATATAAAGACACTTCTATTCTGAAAATGTAACAAAATGGACATGTTTCAAATCAATCTGCTAAAAATTGTTAAATACTGAGAAATGTATTATTAGATAATAAACCTTTATGCCACAAAGTAATCACATTAACAAATAATTCCTTTCCAATAATGACCATTACTCAAGAACTACTCTTGAGGTACTAGTTCTAATAGAAAAATATGCTTTCTATAAAAAAAATCTGAACTTGTCTTTTATATAACCAAGAAGAAACTAAATCAAAGACAACTATGTTACAAGAGATAATTACCTTATAAGAGTTAATATTGAAATTACTAATTTAAATCTGGCCTGTCAATACAGAATGTCTCTTAGTTCAGCACAACACAAAAATATAACAGTATTGATTTGCCACGGTGGTTCTCTTGCCTGTTGAACTTTGGTCCTTGAATCAATGTGTGTATCTGAACTTTGGTCCTGAGTCTACTGTGGCACCAATTTTAACAAAAATGGCAAAAGTGGGGGGAAGTTGGGGACTACTGTTGTATTTCTAGTGATCTACATACAAATGATGACAAAATTATAATGTCTTGAGTAAAAGATTCCTGTTTTATTGGAGGCCATTACCAAATCTGCCCATGTGAAGATAAAATTCATCAACTCCTATTTTTATAAAAACTCACCAACATGAGATAAAGTGCAGAAAAACCACTTAAGCCTAACAAAAGTAATACTATGATGTTTCTGTTAAGATGTAAGAAAACAAAACCTACAAAGTCTTTAAAAATGGGAAGCTAATAATTTCAAAAAGCCTCACCACTACTACCTGTTTTCCAGTTCCCTCCCAGGAGTACTTCCCAAATTCCAGCTTTCCTACACCAATTTTCTGATACCTAACAATCCAATTTTACGAAAAAAATCAGTTTAGAATAATATTATAAAATAACTCCCTTTGAAAAGCATCTACTGAAAGTAGCCAAATATCCTTAGAGAAGCAAGTCTACAAAACTGGACTAAACAACCTCTAAGATACCTTACAACATGATTAATCGAAAATATTCTGGTTCCCTAAGGGGGACAGTCACTACAAATCATTGCTATAACTGCTACAACCTGTCAGAGGTGGGAGAACTGTTGCTAAGGAAATAATAGGAAGAAAGGTCAATACAAAATGATGTTCTTGTATCAACACTATCAAATCTCTGCAGTAATTACTGGCAAGTGAGGATCAGAATCTAAGTCAACCACTCTCAGGTAGAAGGACAGCTTGGAGGTCTTTTAATCCAACCTTTATCCAAAGAATGAATCTGTCATTGCAATATCTCCAATAATAAGCATCAATTCCACTATGTTCAAATACACAATTTCCAAGGCAGCCTATTTCTCCTTTCCTTTTGTCAGATAGTTCTAAGTGACAAGTTTTTCCATAAATTGAGGCAAAAAATTGTTTTCAGGCAATTTTTATCTGTAGACTCCCAGTCTGTCAACTAGAGCCACCAAAAAAAAAAAAAAAGTCTTCAACATAGTAACAAGCTTTCACAATATCTGCCGTTTCCACATCCACTTCCTTACCTCTTCTCTCATCCCTTCACTTTTCTCCAATCTAAACCTCTGCAGTTCCTCCAATATTCTTCCTACAGCACAATTTCAAGTTCTCTTAATACCTTGGATGTTCTTTTCCTGACCAGCTTCAAGTCTTCAATATTCCCTTTAAGGTGTGGTACCTAAAACTGCATGCAATTTTCCCAAAAGCTTTGAAAATGAAAGCAAGTCTATCATTTTGGTTTTTGCGGATATTATATAATACCTAAAAACTCACTCTACTGAAGAAAAGGCAAATGTCTCCAATAATCATGATAACAAATAGGTCAAACTTTACAGACTTGACTTTTGATCTGATCAATTTCGGAAAACAAACAATCATTTTAATGTCTAGTATTTTTCTTTTCTCTGATTTAACAAAGTAGGTTTCTTTATATCCATTTTACAACAGAAGTGAGACAGAGATCAAATCATTTATACGTGGATCTGTATGATGTATCTGCCAAAATTAAGGTACAAAGAGTAGATATTTGATTCACAGTTGTTGGTGGTAAGGTAAAAAGGACATAGACTTTAGGGTTATAAATTTGTTTAATCTTAGCTCTATCATTAATTATTTGACCTTGAACAATTAAATTCTCTGGTTCTTGGGAGATATACTGTATAGCACAGTAACTATAAGTCATCACAAATTGATGTCCTCTCTCATAAATCCACAGCAGAGTCTTCTCTCAAAACTGCCATGAAAAAGTTCAATACTGAGTTCTCTTTATTATCTTACATACTGTTGATGGTATCACTATTTGGTTTGGCTGTTAGAAAGAACAGTGACAAATCTGAAATCTACTTTTGCAATGATGCAAAACTTTTTGGTACTTATTTGTCCATATCAAATTTACCTCTAGCTTTCCATTGCTATTTCACCTTATTTTGCCATTATTTTGATTTTTGTTTATCTTTTTTAAAAAACTATATTTTTAAAGTCATAGAGCGTACTATTTGAACTATAGCAAGTAAAAAATTTGCAGCAAATATTCAGTAAAATCCAATCTATTTTGATCCAAGCTTGTAAAAACCACAGGACTAATTAAAATACTAACCAGCAGCAAGCAATTCTCCTTTCCATGCACAAACCATACACTTCAATCAATCAAAATCACCAGATGATCACTCAGACTCAATAACTTTGGCTTACCTATCAACCCATCCTCCAAATTTCTTTTTCCTTCCAACCCCACTGCTGCCTCTCCTTCTGTTCCTTCACATTTTTACAATGTGAAACTGAAATGTATATCCATTATGTTCAGTGAAAAAAATTTAAATGTTCTCTATAGTTAAAATAAGATAAAATAACATTTAATTTTCTTAATTGGAAAATAAACATTCACTTTTGGCCTTCTTTCTATGACTTTTCTCAAGTAATACCAGAGCAAAAAAAAAAAAAAAAAAATTCACATTAAAGCAAGATAAAATTCATGAGAAATCCAAACTGCAAATACTTTGAACTCATATATTTCTATTTAATAAAGAAACACCTGATACTTACTGTTTACAGAATCTTCTGATTTCTTTGAGGTTGAATGCCCTGAAAAGGAAATAGCATTGTTTTATTAAGCATCATCTTGGGGTTATGCAATAGTTGTAGCTGTAACCATAATTCTTTCCCACAGTCTAACTGGTTTATATTCTTGTAGATGCACTTCTTTGTTTTCTAATCTTTCAGGTTCCTTGGTCTTCTCTCCTCAATTAAAATGTTAGGTCCCTTTAGGGAGGGATCACATCTTTCATATAGCCTGGAATAACTAGCATAAAACTTAAAAAAAAAAAAAAACCCTCATGGATTGCAATATAAACAATAATTTCTCACATTTGGGGAGATGGTCAACATCTGAAAGTAGTTTACAAATCAATGTTAATTTTCTACAATATTTTTCCACAGTCATTTACAGGTAAGAATATGGCCTTTGCCACAGTCACATACAGTAGAAAATACACCTAATTATGTAATAAAAAATTTCCAACTTTAAAATGTAATTCTTTACAAATCAATACTATAGAGAGCTTGATGCAATAAGACAACAGGGGAAATGTTTCTCAAGGCTAATAAAGTAAAAAGGAAAGGTATCAGATGGAGAATAATGATTCCTCTAACATCCCTGGATAGGTCTCATAAGCTATAGCTTATGGCCCCTTGAAGGCCACAAACATTGTTGTGTACTACAAATCACACTGGGACCTTGGTAGCAGATCTAAAGGGAGCTGAGATTGTGTATTTTCTAACAAGCTCTCAAGTGATAATGCTGCTGGACAGAGGATATACTTTGAAAAGCAAAACTATAGAATATCCTTTCAATCATGATACCAGGATTGATTTCTGAGATTCTTTCAATGCCGAGATACTGGCTGAATTCACTGATTCACCTAACATTTACCAAATGCCTACTATGTGGAGAATGCACTGTATTATAAGTTGGAAATGAAGAATTAAATAAACCCCAAATAAAAGTTATTTTTCAGAAAGAAAAAAAGAATTAAACAAGTCACATAGTCCCTTCCTTCACAGAAAATAAATTATTCCAGAAGTCCTACATATTTCTAAAGTAGAAGTGCAGACTGCTACTGTGATATGTAATAGGGATCCAATGTTATTTGGAGAGGAGGTTGAAGGGTATCAGGAATGAGCTAAGCTAAAGGATGAAGTGGCATTTGGAAGAAGAGTAATGATGAGAGGAGTCAGATCTTGAACTTTGTGCCAAGACAGTTGACCTAAGTGTCTTTTGTCTTTATCTGTCAAATCAGACTGGTCTTCAAAGTCAAGTTATTGAATCTAATTTTTTTTTTTCTCTCTATTCATTCGTTGAACAACCAGCATCCAGTTGTCCATCCATCCATTCGCTTATTTAACATTTCCTAAAATGGTAGCTTGAAGCTATGGGAGCAAATAGTATCACACAGGAAGAAAACAGAAATGCCTAGGTAAAAGCCCTAAGGAACTCTTAACACCTAAGAGTAACTCTAACACCTAAGGAGGAACTGGGCAAAAAAGGCTGAGAAGCCAGAAAGACAGAAAAAAAACTGAGATATTAAGTTGATCTGAGAAGAAGTATCAAGAGTACAAGTGCGCCAATGACATCAAACATTTATTAATTACTACTCAAGCTTGTGCCAAATTAAGGTGATTTTGCAACAAATCACATCAAGATGGAGTCAGTACCAGATGACACCAGATATGAAGATAATGAAAAATCCCACACAGTTTTCCTAAAAGTTTGCTAAATTTAAATTGGTCTTATACCATAGATGTTGGGGTGGCTGAGAGAGGAGGCTGAGGCAGGAGGATCACAAGTTCAAGGTAGCCTCAGTAACCTAGAAGACCCTATCTCAAAATTCAAAAAAATTTAAAAGTACAGGGGAAGTAGCTCATGGGTTCGATCCTCAGCACTACATAAAAAAAAGCTATATTTTAGAAACACTGTTCTCTAAGGTGCTCTTCATAGAAAACAAATAAGAAACACATGTCTCAATTTCACTGTGCTTTGATTTTATATTCCTGAATCTTCCCTGAAACCATTTCCAATGTCTTCATTCTTTTATTATTATTTATGCCAAACATGTTAGTGGTGTGATGGGGACAGAGCAGTAGATATGCAGGCAGAATCCCTGCCCTCTCTGGACTTTTTAAGTCATTGTCATATGTGTAATGAAAGAAAGTTCCAGGGGCTGTGACAGCATTAAAAATGAGGGTCCTAATTTAGACTTATGGTGGAAGACAGAATAGGAAAGGATCCCTGGGAAACAGCATTAAGTTTAGACCTGAAGAATGAGTTGGATGGAAACAAGGGTTTTAGGAAGAGAGGAAGCAGCATCCATGCAACCCTTAAAATGGAAAGAAACATGGCATTTTCTAGAAACTGAAAGCCTGAGTGTAAAAGTGAGAGAGAATGTGATGACAAATCAATGAGCAGAACAGAGCAGTAACCTAGGAGAGAAAATATGGTGGTCTGTAACAGGGTAGAGACGATTTGAGGAATCTATACTTGGGGTAAAACTAATTAGATGTGGTGACAAATTAAATATAAATAATGAAGGCATTAGGATCATTCTCAGATTTCTAATATTGTTTTTTACGCTGATAGAGATGTCCATCTACTGAAATACAGAACACCAAAGGAAAAACAAGTAAGATCACATGCACATGTAGGTACAATCTGAAGAGTCCACCTCCATCCAGCCACTAAATCCTGTTTTGAATAACCTCTTATGAGGTAGAGATGAATTCTTCTTTAATTTGGAATAGGCAGTAAATAACATGGCATCATAATTATGATACCAATGCACAATATTATAAAATGTAATGATAAGTGCAACAAATTTCTCAAAGGGTACATAAAATATTTTATTAGCATATCAGAAAAAATAAAAATTTGAAAATTCAAATGAGATATTTACACTTGTTAAATTTTTTTTTAGGGTTGGGAAATGATTAAGATAAAAGAGCATTCTGCTTTAAATTTTAATTTTCAATAAACAATAAAACAACAATTTCTTCTTACCACCTACCAATTCTACCAATTCTAAAACTTGGTAATATTATATACTTGAATATTTTAAACTCCATCTACATAATGAATATATGAGATATGTAAGAAGAAAAAATACATGTAAGAATGCAAGATATCTAATGATCTTCATAGCTGGAGCAAGGGAGCCCTCTCCTGTCCAAATATTATATTAACATTTGCTAGAATCTAGTTCAACCTAACACTAACTACCTAGTTTTAAGTCTGATTCACTATAAGTAATAGCTTTTACTCTTTATTACAGGCTGAAAAGGCAACTAGAAGTAATTTTCATAACAGCTACTTATGTGCCAGGTACTAAGCAAAATGCCTAATGAATTACCTCACTTCAACATACAAATAATCCTATGAGATAGGTAATGTTATCATGGCCATTTTACACATGAAAAAACTGAGGCTTAGAGGGGCTGGGGTTGTGGCTCAGAGGTAGAGCGCTCACCTAGTATGTATGAGGCAATGGGTTCGATCCTCAGCACTACATAAAGTAAAATAAAGACCTTGTGTCCACTTATAACTTCAAAAAAACCTGAGGCTTAAGAGAGCTTAAGGACTGGTTGGGGATATAGCTCAGTGGTAGAGCATTTGCCTAGCATTAGCATAATTCCCTGGGGTCAATCCCTAGCACAGCAAAAAAAAAAAAAAAAAAACAAAGAAGAGAGTTAAGGAGTTGAGGGAAAAGTAAGCACTTGACTGATGATAAATTTGAAGGCACAGTTATATGCCAATCTTTCTCATTTCAAAAAGCTCATAAACCAGGCATGGTGGTGCACATCTATAATTTCAGGTACTTAGGAGGCTGAAGCAGGAGGATCACAAGTTCAAGGGTAGCCTCAGTAACCAGTAAGACCCTATCTCAAAATTCAAAAAATTTTAAAAGTACTGGGGAAGTAGCTCAGTAGTAAGTAGAGTGCTCCTGGATTCAACCCTCAGTCAGTCACTCACACACAAAGCTCTAAGCCAGTGAAAATACTTAGACATATTATAATAAAAATCATAGCATTGTAATCTTATACTATCCAACTATAAAATTTTTACAGTTTCCAAAGTGTCTTTCACAGACTTCTTTGATTCTCCACAATAAGCCTGATTAATATGGAGGCCACATATTCAAATTACCCAAACATACATGAGAAAAGTAAGCTCAAGAAGTTCATGTCCAAAGTAATAAATCCAATAAAGCCAGGATTAGAATGTTACTTACAATATTATACTAGCTGCCAAAAATGAATCAAAATCAACACTGTTAAGTTGCTAAAAATTAATATCTAAATTCTTAACTAGTTTCCTTTCAACAACTATAAGACAAAATTCACCAATTATAATCTATATTTGAGATAGAGCAGATTATATTTCATATTCAGAAATGTAATTACATATTATATATCTTAATTTCCTTTTACCTTTATCTTTTTTCTTGGAGGCCTCTTTTGCAGAAGATAATTTGGATTTTTTATGTGATGATTCGTCACAATCTTTTTTGGTTTTGGCCTTTCTTTTTTTTGACTTGATTTCTTTTCTCCTTTATGTTAAACAACATAAAAAAAGTTAACTTCTTCAATTGAACTTAAAAAAAAAAAATAAAAACCAATGAGTTAAAATATTTATTTTAAAATGTAATTTGTGTAATATGAAACCTTAAATGAATCTATATATATTTTAGGTTAATATAATAAAGACAACTGAAAGATAATGAAGCCTAAACACATTGAGACAAAAAATTATTTTTTATAAGTTTTATACAAAACCTTCATAAATACAAATTGTAATTCTACCTAATTCCTCCTTTCTATATTCTCTCATTCTGCCATTTTTAAAAAAATGCAGAAAAAGCAAATCTCATTTCCCTTCACATAATTCATATCTGCATACACACTGGATGAACACAAATAAGAAACTACTGTAACATCTCTAAACACTAGTAAACAGAAAATTCTTCTCTTAAGAATGAAAGAATGCAATGAAAGTATGATGGAATAGATGGAAGGGGCTTATTAACTCATATGTCAACTTTAGGCCATTTGTAATTTATCCTCTTCTGGTATAACTTTCTCTCATCTAGGTCAGGTTTATAAGCTGGTCATTACCATGGCTGGCAAGCCATCAATTTTAATTTGTTCAGAAAAGAAATACTAAATAGAAAAAGGTGACAATTCTGAAAATGTAACTGGCAAGGAAAAAGAGGATTACTTTAAAAAAATCCAAATTAAGGTCCTCAGGGAATAGTCCAAGAAGGGCGATAGCTGGGTCAAATGGTGGTTCCATTCCCAGCTTTCCCAGGAATCTCCATACTGCTTTCCATATTGGCCGCACCAATTTGCAGTCCCACCAGCAATGTGCCTTTTCCCTACATCCTCGCCAGCACTTATTGTTGTTTGACTTCATAATGGCTGCCAATCTTACTGGAGTGAGATGGTATCTTAGGGTGGTTTTGATTTGCATTTCTCTGACTGCTAGAGATGGTGAGCATTTTTTCATGTACTTATTGATTGATTGTATGTCCTCCTCTGAGAAGTGTCTATTCAGGTCCTTGGCCCATTTGTTGATTGGGTTATTTGTTATCTTATTGTTTAATTTTTTGAGTTCTTTGTATATTCTGGAAATTAGGGCTCTATCTGAAGTGTGAAGAGTAAAGATTTGTTCCCAGGATGTAGGCTCCCTATTTACTTCTCTTATTGTTTCTCTTGCTGAGAAAAAACTTTTTAGTTTAAGTAAGTCCCATTTGTTTATTCTTGTTATTAACTCTTGAGCGTACTATAGGGATACTGCCACATCAATGATCATAGCAGCACAATTCACAATAGCTAGACTGTGGAACCAACCTAGATGCCCTTCAATAGATGAATGGATAAAAAAAATGTGGCATTTATACAAAATGGAGTATTACGCAGCACTAAAAAATGACAAAATCATGGAATTTGCAGGGAAATGGATGGCATTAGAGCAGATTATGCTAAGTGAAGCTAGCCAATCCTTAAAAAACAAATGCCAAATGTCTTCTTTGATTTAAGGAGAGCAACTAAGAACTGAGCAGGGAGGAAGAGCATGAGGAAAAGATTAACATTAAACAGTGATGAGTGGTGGGAGGGAAAGGGAGAGAGAAGGGAAATTGCATGGAAACGGAAGGAAACCCTCAACGTTATACGAAATCACATATAAGAGGTTGTGAGGGGAAGCGGGGGGAACAAGGGAGAGAACTGAACAACAACAGATGAGGTAGAGAGGGAACATGGGAGGGGAGGGGAGGGGGGATAGTAGGGGATAGGAAAGGCAGCAGAATACAACAGTCACTAATATGGCATTATGTAAAAATTGTGAATGTGTAACTGATATGATTCTGCAATTTGTATTTGGGGTAAAAATGGGAGTTCATAACTCACTTGAATCAAATGTATGAAAGATGATATGTCATGAGCTTTGTAATGTTTTGAACAACCAATAAAAAAAAAATCCAAATTAAGGTAACTACACCAAATGCTATAACACTATTCACACAGTAACCATTTTTCTCTTTCAGCAGAATCATTTCAATTTTGAAATGAAGCTCAAAAGTCAAAGTCAAAAGACATACTTGAATCAAAGTGTGAAATATGATATATCAAGAACTATGTAATGTTTTGAACAACCAACAATAAAAAATTTTAAAAAAATGTAAAAAAAAAAAAAAAAAAAGACATCAAACTAGTTTCAGTGTCATGGATAAAAAGAAGAAATAAAGGGTTAGGCTATTCAAGTAATCTAAAAAGTTCTAAAAAAATTTCCTATACAGAAGGAAAAGGGTAAATACTAGAAATTATATTGACCAAATTATATTATTATATTGTGTGCATGCACAGATATGCAGCAACAAATTCTATCATCATGTACAACTACAATGCACCAATAAAAAATAAAATGGATACTCTTTGACAAACAGTATAAAGAAGTTGGCAACACCCTATGCTCATGAAAAGATAAAGACAGTATGTGCCAGATATCATGGGTAATGCAGCAAGGAAGGCTGTAAGGATTAAAAAGTCAAGTGGCTTCATGGTTTTCATCTTCTAAAGCAAGGAAGTTAAGACACTTGGATTTCTAAAGCATACCACTACTGAGGAACCTAGAGCACCAGTTCCTCTGAAAAGAGTGCAGTGTTTCAGGGTCGCTGAAACAGGAGGCTTAGCTGAGAGTGTAGATCAGGAATGCTTACACTCCACTCCACAAATGCCCTCCCCCAGGTTTGCATAGTCAGGCAGCTAGTTACTCCTTCCCCTTTAGTCATTTCTTGAGAAATCAAATCAATGAGCAAAATTAGGACTTAGTATTCATTTTTAACAGCTAAAATATTAGATAGGCACACTTATACTAAAGCTGATTTTAAAGTCACAGAATTGCACTGTTACTCAGGAGCTGAAACCCGACCCCTACAGTAATGGCAAGTCACACAGATTTTGGCTGAACACTTCAGTGCCAGGGACTACGCTTGATTTACCATATGCCAGGAGCTATATCAGGTATTCTATGTGCTCTTTTATTTATTCCTTCAGCATCCCCACTTTTTTACAGGTGATAAAAATTGAGTCCTACAGATGGTACGCCTAGTAAGTTAAGCAGCTAAGAGAAATACTCAGGTCTGCTTTCAAAGCCCATGATTTCATATGCATTGTACAGTGTAGGCCACAAGTACTCCCTCCCACCCACTCAATATGGCAGGCACATTCGAGTTCATTCATCAATAGGAGCCTGATTTTAACATTTGAATAAATTCTCTGCAACAATGACAAACTCCGGTTAAAACATTACCACAAGAACCATTCCCTGAGGTCTGCTTTACAACATAATTTTTAGAATATTATGGTATCCCACATAAGCCTTCACATTTAAAAGTGTTTGGTTAGAATAGAGATGGTGATTTTCCAATTACCTGTTTTATGTGGTTATACTTTCTACAAATCAAACAATCCATCCATCAACTACCCAAGTCTACAATTAGACATTCAGTGCAGGTAAATGACTATGTCTGAGATAACTAAACACTACAAATGGCATTTAAAAAAACAATGTTACCTGTGATGAAAATTTAATTTAAAGGAACATTCTTGGCATAACCCTAAAAAAACACAAAAACAAAAACAACACTGAACTGCTGAATTTGAATAACTACACTGTGACTCTACTTTTTAATAACCATACATTTTTCATTTCCTTTATATTTCTTTACTATAAGAGAGCAAACAAGTAATTTGAAAAAAAAAAAAAAATCTGACCTTACCACCTCAAATACTACATATAGACATTTACTTCTAATAAAAATTATACTAGTATGATTCAGGAATCGAAATATTTTAACATTTAAAAAAGTATTATAAATTTACTGTTTCAGAGGCAGCATTAACATGTCTCACAGATATCTGATGATAATAATAATATAATAATTTGAGTATAGTTATTTTCTCTGAAGAGCTTTAAGAATTTTCAAATGCAAAGGAGCTTTTCAAATAGTTCCATAATTGTGGCCCTTATCTCACTCTATAATGGCTTTTCCTGATGAGCACTTCCATAACTCAGAAACCAGTCTGTAATAATCACATGTCCTACATTTATTTAAGATCCAGAGAAAGTTGAAGACCATTAACATGACGAGAGGAGCAGCTGACACACAAACACTAAAGAAAAATAATAAACAGATTCTAATCCATGCATATTAAGGGAAACTGCTTATTTTTTAGTATGTTCCTAAGTTTTTAAGACCGATTTCAAAAATAAGTCTTTCTAAAATTTTTCTTTATTGACTATCAAAGACAATGGGTTTATTATCCACACCACAACAATATGGCTATATAATCAGTCAATGTGAGATTTTAACACTGCTTTCTGTGATACTCTGCCTGTTAGACATGTAACTTAAGAGACATTTGCAAGTTAATGGAGATCTTCACTCTACAAATTATCAGCTTATATTTGACAGTAGAAAAGTTTTACTGAATGTATATGAACAAATATATAACAATGAATCCCACCATTATGTATAATTACACTGTACCAATAAAATATGGAAAAAAAATTTTACTGAAATGCCACTATGTATAGCTAAGCATGTAAAAGGTGTAAGCTCAAAAAAGTCTCTGAGACTTTGGAAAGCTCTAAGAAAAAGGAGCACTTCCAGGAAGAAATGTTAAACATTTTAAGTTGAATTTGAAACAGTCTGTATATTTTAAATTCCAAATTAAAAGCTTAGAGGAAATCAATTTTATCTCTCCTAAAGTCAACTTACTTAATTTAACAAGTGCATTTCTCTTTTCACCATGTTCAATATAACCAAAATTAACTTCCCAACTCTTTAAGCCTTCTTTTTCATCACAACGTTTATTTCCACAAAAAAATTGACCTGCAAAAAGGAAAGAAATATTAGCTATGGTAGTTGACAGTATTCATCTATATAAGCTGTTACTATCTCTAAAATTTACTTTAATACGTAAAATCAAACACTACAGTAAAACTAATTTGTATTATGTGCAAATAATTATAACAGAAAATCTAAAATTAAATTTATTTCAAAAAGTATGTAAAATCTTAGCTAAAGTCAACATTTAAAAAAACTGACCACAATAATGATCTTATGTTCAACAGATGTTTATTAAAGTATCAAATTGAGGGGCTGGAGTTGTGGCTCAGCGTTAGAGCATTCGCCTAGCAAGTGCAAGGCCCTGGGTTTGATCCTCAGCACCACATAAAAATAAATAAATAAAATAAAGGTATTGTGTCCTACAACTACTAAAAAATAAATATATTTTTTAAAAAGTATCAAATTGAAGAGCTGATCTGTTACAAAAAAAAAATCATTCTCAGTCTCAGAATTATTGCTTGATAAACTGTTTATACTGAGATAAGTTTTAGTGAATCTCCCCTATTAGGGAATCTTACACTTTGTAAAGTGAAGGCATTGAGTGAACTCACCAAAATCCTGAAAGAAAATAAGCATTTTCCAAAGTAAATGTACTTAATATTAAAATTAATATTTGAAATAACTAGCATAGCATTTATTTAAACAGCATCTGTAGGCATAAGAATATATTTAAACCTCTTGCACTCTGGGATGAAATACACTAAGTAATCAAACCTGATACTTTAAATTTTAGAATCACCTGTTGCTAATATTAACAGATCACCATGTTCACTATATTAAAACTTCCAAACAAAGGACTAAGACTGACTGATGATCCAAGGGAGAAAAAAAAAGAAAGAAAAAGAAAAAAGATACCATGCAACAATTATTTACTTTGGCAGAAAAAGATAAAAATCAAACTTTAATTTGTACAAACAAACAAAAAATAGTAATTTGCACCAACAGCAGCAAATCTGAAATAAGCAAATTATTTTTATAAAAATAAATTTAGAACATTATCATCCAAAATGCCAATTTCTAAATTAGCCTTTTAACTCATTCCAAATAAATACTTAACTGAATTTACATGGTTTGTAATGGCTGCTAAAATGGCAACCACAAATTATAACTTAAATCACAGTTGCTCTCTTCTTCTCAACTAATTCCTTAATCAGTTATATGAATTTAGAAAATGTCCATCCATTTTTTAAAAGGTAGCACTGTAAATTTGCCTAAAAATCCCATTCAATAAAAGTATAAAATTTTAAAATTCTGATAGACATTTCAGGATCATTATTTTAAGTAAAGACACAAACTAAACTGAAACCCTAAGAAAGCTAGAAGTAACTTTAAATTTATTCTTTTTCCATCTCCTTGAAAGTGGCAATCAAATATTTAGTTTATTAGCAAAAGATCAAACATTTGGTTGGAAATCAGTAAATGTATATTTGTACACAGTCTTATGCTATAAAATTAGCTCTTTGTAGAATAATTGCATTTTATGTGATAGTATTTCTAAAAACTATATAGTAGCATTTAGGAAATAATTTTAAACTTAATTTAGAATCTCTTTTAAACTAAGAATAAAAGTTACATTTTTAAGTCATTAAATATTTATACTATCAGACATCTTCCATAAATTGAATATATTTTATGTCAGGTATGAAACTGGTTATTCAGTAAAAGAAACAGATTAGGATTTTGGGGGAAAGATGTCTGAGACATAAAACATTATACAAAAAACACAATTTTCGGGACAAAAATTCATTGAATATAGTGCATAGAAAAAGCATTTACTGAGTGCCAACCAGATGTTTGGCTTTTTGCTATGAGGGTAAATATTTGGGCCATTTCAAATACTCTCCCAGATAAAAACTAGCCTATACGGGTATAAAGTGAAATGTAATTTTTATTTTCAAAATGTGGATTTGGCTAGAATATAATAGAACCAATTTATTATTCCAAAAAATGTAAAGGAAATAAATAATTCACTTGTTCCTTGTATTAAATCTTTAAATATTTTCTATCTATCTTCCTTTGAATGTTCTAAAGTCAAAAATCATGAAAACATATTTTCTGACCTTTGTTAATAATGTTTCACAAATTCATCTTTAATTTTATTTAAGTAGATAATAATTTATTGCATATGGTAGGAAGAATCTTACCCAATGACTTCAATTCAATATCACAACAAAATAAGCTGTATCCTATTAAAAAAGTAAAATTAAAAAAAAAAAGAATTACCTTTTCCTGAAATTACTTCTTTTTCTACTCGCCACCTAAATCCAAACTGTTAAGAAAAATTTACATTTATGCTAAAGTAAATTTAAACATTAAATTTAAATTTTATATAAATGTAAATATGGAGCCAACCATTTACCAACTTAAAATAAACCTAATTTTCATCATGAGAGCATGTTCTCTTCTCATAGGACTACAGATACTTGAAAATACATTTGAACATTTGTTAAGATTCTTTACTTTTAAAATACCCTGCAATTATAGGTACCAGGCCAAGATACCTAAGCTAATAAATAATATATCCTGTTTTCTGATACTAACAAGAAATAAACAAAAAAGGCTGTAGTACAGCAAGGAGCCTGTGTAGTATAGCATAAAAAAGTAAAGCCTTTGGAGTCAGATATAGGATTGGGCAAGTTATTTAATTTCTTTTTTGCCTCAGTTTCCTCAGATGTAAAGTAGACATATAAGTAACTACTTCTTTTGGGTAAGTTTAAATGAGATTATACATATGAAGCATTTGCAATAGTAATAGGTAGTGGAAGGAGGTTAGCAAACCATGGCACAACAGTCTGTTTCCTATTTTTATAAATACAGTGAATACAACCACATTCTTTCATTTATGTATCTCAACCTTCACAGTGGGGTTTAGTAGTTGTGACAGAGAGCATATAGCCAGCAAAGTAAAAAATAGATATTATCTAGCCCTTTACCAAAAAGTCTGCCAACCCCTGTAATAATGGTCAACATTATCAGTTATAACTATCATGTCCTCTAGATTTCAATGGATACAAGCAACTATTACTCAGATACATGAGAACATAGGGTTCAGTAGTGAAAAAAAAAAAAGACCTCTGATCTCAGCAATCTAATCTAAGAAATCTCTGACAAAAGATCCAACACTATTCAGGTTTCTATCACTGGCAAAGCTTGACTCAGAAACAGAACAGAGGATCCTATCTGGAACTCTAAAATGGAAAGGTTAATTTTCATCCATATTTCTAAACTTAATTTTATTTGTTATTTGGCTGTTGATCCATCTGTTCTATTTTTTAAGATATTTCACATTTATCCACTAATTTACCAGTTTTACTAACAAATTTAGTTTTCTGTTTGGCTTAACATATGGTTAACAGCTCAATATCCAGCAATCAACACTCCTTGGTATTTACCCAAAAGAGTTGAAAAATATGTCCAAACAAAAATCTGAACATAGATGTTTACAGCAACTTTACTCATAATGGCTCAAACTTGGAAGCAACTACAATGTCCTTCGTTATGTGAACTGATAGATAAAACTGTGATACATCCAAACAATGTAATATTATTCAGTGCTAAAAAGAAAGGAGGTATTAAGCCACGAGAAGATACAGTTATATAGTTATGTATTGTAATAATATGCATAAGTGCATATCACTAAGTACAAGAAGACAATCTGAAAAGATTCTATATGATGTTGTGGTGAAAAAAGACAAAAATATGGAGGCAGTAAAAACATCAGTGACTGCTAGGAGTTAGGGAATAGTGACAGATGAAGAAGCAGAGCACAGAGGACTTTTAGGGCAGTGAAACAGTACTCTGATACTATAATGGTGGACACATACCATTATACATTTATCAAAAGCCAAAGAATGCATACTACCAAGAGTGAACCTTTATGTGATAATGATGAATCAATGCAGGTTCAATGGTTCTAACAAATGGACCATTCTGGTGGCAGATGTTAATGGTAGGGGAGACTATGTGCAGGGGAGGGTGGAGGCTTATGGGAACTTTTTAACTTTCCAGCCAATTTTGCTGTCCCTCTAAAAACTGATCTAAAAAATAAAGTCTATTTTTAAAAAGATAACAAAAAACCCCACTCAGCTCCAGTATCATGAAGACCTATAACCAACTCAAGAAGCTTGCCATTCATTAACTAGATCTATAACCTTGGAAAAGTTACTAAATTATTTTGTCTTTTTGTATATAAATGGAAATGGAAACAATCTTAATTAATTGAAGTGTTGTATTAAAAGAGAATCCAGATAAAGGGTTCAATGCTTGGTTGGCTTTCAGTTTAAAACATTTTTTTTTAAATCATCTATTACTTGAATTTGGCAATTTTCTATCTTAAATGCAAATAAATCCTCAAGATATTTCAAAATATTCTGATTAAAACCCCTAAAAAATAGAATCCTCAAAGCCTAGGGGGAAAAAAAATTCAAATGTGTTTGTTTTATCTTTTAGCCTAAGCATATTCAACATATTTTGGAATGTCTATTGAAGCACTGACAAATGCGCACTAGCAATAGTTTCCAAATTTTTTTCTTTCATAAACTAACATACTTAACAAACACTAAATAACTACTTTTCAGCTTGGCATTAACTAAGGATAAAAAGTGATTATTAAAATAGTGTCTGTCACCAAGAAAGTTATAAACTTATGGGAGGAATAAGAAATGTAATGAAACAACTACATTATATCCTACTAGCCAGCAAATGTATATTTCTTATATCCTTTCCTAATATAAATTTCTTGTTGATAGGTTGGATGAAAACTAGAGTTACTCAAGATTTGGTGCCAAACCTCCTCCTCTTATTCTATACTCTCACAAAGAGGTCACACATGCAAGCAAAAAGAAAGAGAAGATTGTGACTTTATGACATCAAGTTCCATAAACATCTACTTGGAGTTTTACTACAAAAAAAATAAGCTCAGCTTATTTAAGTCGTGTGTTTTTTTGAGAATGTGTTTTATTCCTTGCAGTTAAATCTAATCCTGATACAAAAATACAAATACATTCTCAATGATGAATGGTTCTTCCAAAAAAGGAATGGAAATATGGAGCAAAGATGGAAACTCACTAAAAAATGCACTAAGTAATGTAAAAATGTGCAGTACGTGTGTGTGTATAAATATATATTTTTATATTATACACAGAATTAGGAGTTAATTAAAAGTGAAAAATCATTGTCCAAGGCCTTATTCCAACTTTCTCCAATACCTCAAACATAGTTTGCCAAAATACAAAGTCATTATCTTCCCAAAAAACATCACTATCCAAATTCCCTATTTCTCTCAGTATCCACACTCAAAGTTTGCAAATCCAATCTGATTCCTTACTAGCACTTAACCTCATATCCAATTACTCATTATATTCTAATATGAAAGCACAATTTGTTTCAAGATTATTCTCCTTCAACTATGATTTCTAGTAATAACGCTTTTTAATGGAGAATACAAACAATTGATTTTTATTTACATAAACTTTCCTCCTCAACTAGACTTCAACTTTTCAGTCCAATTTCAATAAATATGAAGAAAAATCCATAAATGAGCTAGGGTTGAAAAAGCTGCTTTGTTACATGCTCCTAGAAAGACAGTATTTCATACTTGATTTGTAATCTATAAACTCAGGTAATTCCAATTGTTGTGCTCTTTGGACGAGTTGTGGAAATTGGCTGGCACAAAGATGAGAGATATCAATGAGAACCATAACTAATTCATAAAAAACTGAGAAGACTCTGGGATACACAAAGCACATGGTTTGTAAACAGGGTTATACAAAATGAATATTATTATTGTCTATAAGAAATTGAGAAGCAACATATATTAAAGGCACACTGAAAATATTGTTAAACTAATCCTAATTCTAATAAGGTCAAACTATTTAAATGAAAAAGAAATCTCTATGATACATAAATTTAATACAGCTTTTAAAATAGGTTGTCTTCCTTAATATAATATAAACATACATTATTCATAACATATATTTATGCAGCATTCCCTCTCCTCTCACATTTCCAACTAAGATCATCTGTTCCTGGGTCACCTTCTTAGATATAAATTTAAAGTTGATTTAGAAATAAATATAACTTTAATATTTACTAAAGTTAGATGTAAAGTGTGTATGGAAATCTGCCACTACTAATAAGCATAGATGGAAAAGTTAATTTTACTAGAATAGGCATATTTATATAATAAAAGATGTGCATCTGGCACTTTATAAATGGTAATCAATTAAAAAATATCTGTCATTTTGAAACATAAATCTATGAAACAAGAATCATTCCACAGTATTAAACCATCCATCATAATCACTAAGGGGTCTAGACCAGAGTCAAGATGAAACAGGATCCAAGAGCCACTTGTGTTTAATTTTAGGCTTTTCATGCCTCAGCTCAAAAAGAAAAAGCACTCTTGTCCTTTATAAATTCCACAGGCCCTTTGTAAAAATCTCATGGTCAAAATGATACTCCATAGGTGCAAGACAACCTAGACTAGAAATAGCATCTTTAAAAGAATAATGTGGGTCATGATAGTATAATAAAAATTAAGACCATATTTGAATAAGAACTTCCTTCTGTATTTAGAGGACATACCTTATTTTCTTTGTATCTACTGAGATCTCCTATGCAGTATTCCTTGAATAGTTTATCGTAATATTTCTTTGCAAGTCTCTTCTCCCTGGATACATTAAAAAAAAATGAGTATTTTACATTTAGAAATCTAACCATAGTTTGCTACTTGGAAGCAATGTCAAAAAAAATAACACATAGATATAAAATAGTAATGTTTTAAAAGAGGTCTATTACTTCCATGTACACAGAATATCTGGATATAAATTACTGAAGTGGCTTTCTTGGGGAGTGAAAATTGATAAACTGACAACTGGAAATGATAAGGTGAATTACTCTTCCTTTTATTGGTATTGGAGAGTGAATCCAGGGGCACTCAACCACTGAACCACATTCCCAGCCCTATTTTGTATTTTATTTAAAGACAGGGTCTCACTGAGTTGTTTAGCACCTCACCACCTGCCTCAGCCTCCTGAGCCACTGGGATTACAGATGTGTGCCATGGCACCCAGCTACTCTTCATTTTTTACCCTGTAATGTTTGGATTTTAAAAAACATTTTCAGGTATTATTTTTTCCCAAATCATTTAAAAAATTTTAAAAGAAGAACATAACAGCAAATCGCAAGACAACACATAATATCATAAAAAGTTATTTTTTTAAGACTAAGTCAAACAAGAAGAAGTCAGTTAAAACTGCCACAACCACCAAAGGAACCAACTCAGATTCAAGAATGCTAAACATGGCTTTATGTCTTTGATTCAGAACGATCCTATGAAGAGGCTGAAAGCCTTGGATAAGTGACAGCTAAGAAAACACAAAACAAGAAAGACAGGACTAAAACATTTGATGCACCATGACTCTGATGGCTAAAATTACCAAGTCATCTCCATTTCATCCTCTTCATTCCATAGGAATCTATGGTTTTCTCGTATAACATCCAAGTCTGTCTTATCATTTTCCCTGCAAAATAAAACAGTTTCAATGTACTACGCAAACAAAATTAGTCAAATTGAGGAGGTTAAATAGTGTTGCAAAATTTTTGAAAATGTGAATAAATGTATACATAAAAATAGTTTTATGTGTGTATGTATATATATATTTATAAAAACTATTTCAATATTTTTAAAAGGTACCTATGAAGAGTACTGCTATAGAATAAGTTAAATGGACAAAAGAATCCATCCATTCTACTGAAGTTTCAAATACACAAAGGGTGCTAAGTTACTAAAGTTAGCATGAGACGGAATAAGCACTAAAATAAGAAAAGGTGAATGAAAATAAGTTTTGGAATCTAATTAATCAGTAATACCACTCTATTGAGATCAAATTGTTTAAAAAGTTACCTCATGTCATTACCAGTTCCTAGGATGAGTTAGTAAGGATAGGATCTTTCAAATTTGGAATAGATGAAATAGTACTAACTCAGAAAAATTAAGTCACTGATGGAAAAAAACCCATGGAAGGCAAAGAGGCTCTGACAGATGGGAAATTCTGTAGTGAGCTTTCTTGTTTACCCTTCCTTTAAAAAGCAATTCTAAACACTAAGGTCTAAAATTTAATAGTTTCAAAAATCTTTGCCAATAAGACACATGAGTATTTCTCATATATACTGTTATGGCCAGGTGGTACGAGGCCTACTGCCAAGGAAATAGGATTCATGAGGAGCCCTCAGCTAGAAGGTGTGGATGGCCTCTCCACCTTATGTCAAGGAAACTGGAACAGAAAGCAGGGAAAGAATGATAAAATCAGAAGACACAATAGCTGTGGGTATTTGAAGTCATCCATACTTCCCCTCCCATTCTATGATACTTACCCTAAACGCCTGAAGTCTTCCCTTTTGCCACCATAGTATAAAATATAGTCATTTACAAACTTTGTATGCCTTTGATACTGAAATTTAAAAATATTAAGGATTTTATTCACATAGGAATCATTCTGTGTCATATTACTAAGTCTATTTATCCTCCAAAAGTATGCAAGTATGTACGATATATGCTCGCTCACACATTCAAAGAACTCAGGAGGGTACATAATGAAAGTGACGACTAAATTAGAAGAGCTTTTACTTTCTATTGGATACTTTTCCAAGCATATATTACGTATAATGTAATGTTTGGAATATTTTTCAAATACATATTACTCTGTGATAAAACACATCACCATCGGGGAGAAAGAGAGCTTCCTACTGCAGGACTGCCAGCAACCCAATACCACCAATCACTCTAATAATCATAATATAAAAATGAATAATTTATGCCTTCTAAAGTTAAAGGTAAGAAGCAGAATTTATCTTTCATTAAAAAATATACTTCAGTTATGTTAGTAATGATAAAACCTTTAAGTAGAAGACTTAACTTCTATAATACTAAGTGCTAATCTAAATTTTTAAAAATTAAATATAAGAAATCAGATATTATTTTTTATACTTTCTCTTAATATTTAAAGAATCCATGCAACCATGTGTATTTTCAGTATAGTATATGGAGATAAAATGAGCATTACTTTTTGTTTTAAAAAAGCTCAGCAGCACTCCCTCTAGAATCAGCAGAGTTGGCTTTGCCTTCTGTAATATTGTCTGTGACTACATCCTATTATATCAAAGATATATAGTAATTTAATTGATCACAATGTGTTTTTTTTTTATATTTCTTGTAGTTGTAGATGGACAGACTGCCTTTATTTTATGTTTATATTTATGTGATGCTGAGGGTCGAACCCATTGCCTCATGCATGATAGGCAAGCGCTCAACCACTGAGCTACAGTCCCAGCCCCAATCACAATGTGTTTTAATAAAAAACAATCAGAATGAAACTTCCAAAACTGATAACAAAGCAGCTGATGTTTCTAAGAAAGAGAGAAAGACAGAGAGAAAGGGAATGAGAGCAAGCCAGATAGATATCTGGAAATCACAGTTCTAGCTCTTCTATCCTAACTGCTTCTGTAACTATGTTAAGACACTTAAATATCATTAGAGCTGGAATCACCAAACTTTTTCTGTAAAAAGCTAGATGGAAAATATTGCAGGCACTGTAAGTCATTTGGTCTCTGTTGTAAATACTCAGCTCTGCATTTCTAGCAGAAAGGCAATCATGGACAACATATAAATGAATAAGCAAGGCTATGTTCCAATACAATTTTTTTATGTCCAAAAACAGGTGGTGGGTAGGACTTTTGCTTTGGGGAAGATGAAACAGACAGAGATATATTTTTTCATATTCCTCACACTAACAACAACTAAAAATCTGGAATATTATAAAACAAATATAGTAAGACTCTGAAAGTTGGAGAGAAGAAGGTACATCAAGTAGGGACCTCAGGTTGTATGTTTCCTGGGTTTTCATTCAGTCTCACATATCCCAGATTTGGAAGTAAAACTGGCACCCTAGAAACAACCATTAGACAAAGACTAAATAGCCTCAACAAAAGCTGTCTTCTCTAACCAAACAACTGAGAGTCAGCCTAGTGAGACCGATAAATTTTTGGATAATAACTACTCCAACAATAACAACAACAACAAAAAAAAAAAAAAAACAAAACAGAAAAATCTATGGTCCCCCTTCAACCTCTTCCAGAAAAGGAATGCCTACACTTTCACTTTCACATGCTAAGTGCCCCAACACCTTGATGGTGGTTAGAGAAGACAGACCAGATGTTCAAATGCTAATGGAACAAGTAGCCAACGAGATTCACAGGAACACCAAGCTATTAGGCTAGGAGGTAAAAGGAATAAATAAATAAGGGTCAAATGGAATTTCTATAACTTAAAAAAGAATCAGAATGATAACAAAGTGAAAAGGATGACTATAGGTAAGGGGTGTATTAAAGTGATATTATATTGCCTTGTTCTTCCAATCCTGACCTTAACAATAAATACGCAGAAATACTTCAGATCTTGCTTGGTCTCCCTTTCATTCTCCAATATTCCCTGCAGTAATATGGATAGCCAGGTACTGTAAGGAGCCACAGTCTTATTTAAAAAATTAAGTTGAAACATACTACAAAAGGAAGCAAGTTAACAGCTTATCAATAGCCTCCAGTCACATTTGAGAATTATAGCTACAGCAGGCCTGGGGACAGTCTACAAACGATCTAATTTTAAATACAAGTTCTGCAGAGAACTTAGATAGCCAAGAACCAGGTAGGAAGAGAATAAATTAAAATGAGACTAAAGATAAGAAAGTGTAGAAAAGGGAATTTAAAAATTTGACAAAATCAAGTTGGAAAAAATATCTGCAGGTTCATGGATTTATAAGCCTATATATAGAATGACAGTAATACATTTCACTGTTTTTGTCTCTAAGTATTTCCTGTGTTAGGAAAAGAGAATTATACCCAAAAGTATAAGTGGCAAAATTCTACATCAATAAACACTTAACCCTAAGCATAAAAAGGCCTATTTAACTTCACAAAATTTTATGAAACAAAAATAACAAAGCAAATTTTAAAATATTCTACTAGTTATAAAAATCTAGAAATTTAAAAAGGATACAGCATCCATAGCTATGAGATGAAATCTTCTGTTTCTTGCTTCTTCCCTGTTAAAGAAATTTTTATTTTAAGCAAATTCAAATGTCTATATATCCTAACTAATATAATCCAAGCCCTTAGTCCAAGTTTATAAAACATCTTAGAACAAAGAATGTAATTTACTTTGAAATACCATACCTATCCAGCAATTCTGCTGCAACTTGCTTATGAGCCACCTTTCTATGTTTTTCTTTCTGAAATGGCTTTTTGAGCAGTAAATCATCTTCGGTTGCCCTGGTGTATTAATAAAAAAAATTATTAAGAGCTAATTTTTCTTAGAGTATTTCCTAATATTTTTATATTTTCATAATTAAACATGCTTTAAAGAATTCAAGTTGTTTTTTTGTGTGTGTGCATGTGGTGCTGGATATCAAACCCATGGCCTTATACATGCTAGGCAAGCACTTCACCAACAAGCCACAGTCCTGCCCCCAGAAGTCAAGTCAACTTAAAAAAGACACACTGATGTTTAATGAGACATTTTACATCTCCTTAACCTTAATCTTTTTTTTTTTTTTTTTGTACCAGGGATTGAATCCAGGGGCACTTAGTCACTGAGCCACATCCCCAACACTTTTTTATATTTTATTTAAAGACAGGGTCTTGCTGAGTTGCTTAGGGCCTTGCTAAATTGCTGAGGCTGGCTTTGAACTTGCAATTCTCCTGCCTCAGCCTCCTGAGCTGCTGGGATTACAGGTGTGCACCACGGTACCTAGCTACCACCTTAATCTTATTATAGTTAAGTTTCTTAATTTCTCTGTAAAGCAGTGATAAGGAAGTTTTTGGTAATACATAATATGGAAAAAGAGAGGTGATTATAGAGGCTATAGACCACAGATGATCAGACCTAGTTATGTAGATAAATATAACCCTAGAGCACAGTATCCAAATAGATTTGCTCAAATTCTATTCTTATGAAGTAATATTTTAAAAAGAAAATCTAGAAAATATAAAGCATCATAAAATGTAATTTATTATAATTATTACTATTTGTTGGTTAAACATGAAGATTGAGTATCTTATAAAAATGTTCAGTACCAGTTTTACCTAATATACTGCTCTCATAGAATAATAAACTGATTTCTATAGGTTCAGTTAGTACGAGTTAGTCAGCCACTCCTGAGTTAATGGATAAAACTGAGTTTCTAAACACTGAAAGTTGATAACAATGCCCCTAAATGATGCCCATGCCTATGTGCTACTAGTTCTTTCAATTCAATAAAACCTGCCATGAGCTTCTTGCATTGACACGCTCATTCATGTAAACAAAAGAACCCTCCCATAATTATAATACTTTTCTGCACACTATCTTCATTTTGATGGCAAGTACTAGCAAGAAAGAACCAACCAACCCCTCTGTGCTATGACATTTGCAAGTATAGTCTTTAACAGTTGAAAACTACATGCAATAGAGAAATCTGAAACCTTTCATTTTCCCCCCTTCCATTTCAATAACCCCCTTACAGTACAGACTTTTTATTTTTCCCCAAACTGTTCTCCAATTTTGAATCAATTTATTGTAGCTTAATAAATAAAAATTCATTCACTAAGCAGTTGGCTTCACATGTAAGCATGATCCCAAACCTAATATTATTTATACCTCATAGTAACATAGAAAGGATGTAAAATACTGATCAATAAAAAATTACCTTTTTTTCTTCTTACTAGATTCTCCGCCATGTTCATCATCACTAAAATCAGAGTCATAGCCTCCATGCCCATGCATCTGCAGAAGAATATAAAGTCAGTTACTTAGAACCTAAGTTTCTAATTGTTCAGGAAACGGGACAGTTTAAAAAAAAATCAGAGATCTTAACTACAATAGTTTTAAAAGATCATGGTATGCCCACTGTTCATGGGCTCTTCAGCCATGTAAAATTTGGATTCACTTTGAAATAACAAACTTACCCTTCAGAAAAATGCATCAATATTTTTCACCTTTAATTGACATTAGGAGAACAAGGGAAGTTACTCTTTGGCCTTTCCATTAAAAACCAGGCCCAGAAACTGCAAGGGGACTGAGTCACTTTTATTTAACTCATGACGGTTACTGTGTACAATCATGCACCCTACAGCAGACCACATATGACAACAGTCTCATAAGATTATAAGGGTTGAAAAATTCCTCTTATCAAGTATTTTTACTGTACATTTTCTGTGTTTACATGTTTAGGTACATAAATACCAGCAAAATATAACAGCTTATAATATTAAATACTATATAAATTTGTAGCCTAGAAACAATAGGTTATATCATTAAAGCCTAGGTATGCTAGTACACTACCATGTTCACACAATGATAAAACTGCCCAACAATTCATTTATCAGAATGCTCTTCTAAAATAATGTAAGACTGCCTTTGTCCCAGACACTTTATAAAAATGACTGTGATTCTGCAACTATTAGAAACTATTCTCCATTTCAAGGATGAAAAAAAAAATCAAAGACAAAGTTAAATAAATTAATTTTACAACACAAATATATGGTTAAGCTGATTTACTTGATTTTCAAGCTCACAATTTCAAGTATTCCAAATTATATCACTGGAATAAGGTTAGAATTACTGTATTTGTGAATGGTACACTATCAGTTGATGAAAAAAAATTTTTTTTCAACATACGTGGAGATTTCCATTTTAAGATTCTTCAAGTTGAACTACCTTACCCTTTAGCTTAGTTTTGTTTCCGTTCATTTTTAAATTGACATTCTTAGAAATGCTGAAAGACCTCAGCTCTCATGGAAGAAGACAATCGCACTGGAAGAAGCTTCTGCTTCCAGCATCACGTTTGGGACTCACATTAATGGTGGATGGATGGATTATTTGACTATTTGATATCATAAGTATTCAACTCATGGCTTAAAGTAACCAGTCTAGGTCAGAAGACTCCAATTTTTTGAAACTTTAATATTCATGACAGCAAGTACAGCAGAAAAAAAGAGGAAACAACTCCCTGAACTTCATTACATTGGATCTACAACAGAAGATGTTTCTAAGTTTAACTATTGTAAATAATTCATTTCATCTCTTTGGGCTTCATCTATCAAATAAGGTATCTACGTCAAATAATCATTAAATTCTATAAGTCAATGATCTTTCTGTAATTCTATTTTCAAACTTAGGTGTGCAAGTGTATACTTCTCTTCCCTACCCTGCAGAATTCTATAGAGTAGGAGACCCCAGACAAGATTGGAAATGGTGGTTAGAAGACCACAGTTTCAACCCTACCCTGCCTTCACACCTGGATTGCATACCCTTTACATCAACTTCTAGTTCCTGCCATCTTACTATATCTGTTCAAGCTATACCACCCTTTTACTCCTAGTCCTATATCCTCACTTTCTTCATATCTTGATGGCAAAAAACCACAGTGTGGAGCCAGGAAATCTGTTCTAAAACCGGCCTGCCATAATTCAAAGACTCGCTCTACATTTTTCATTTGCCTTTCTCTGGACATGTTCCTTAACTTCTAGGTTGCTATGAGGTATAAATAATAAGCCTCCGTTTCACCATTTGTAAAATAAGACTAATTGAGAGTACCAACCTCAAAAAACTAAATGAATTACCACATCTAAAGGGTTTCAGAACAGTGTCTAGTACCATAAACCTTGTAAACGTTAACTTGAATATCATCATCTTGTTCCCTCATCCCTCATACCACCTCCTACCTGGCTCCCACTCTCCCATTTCTTTTTCCTCTGACGGCTTCATCCGCCCCATACGCACCTTAACTCAGAGGTTGCACTAAAAAGCTCTCACTCACATCAGTTTACGAATAAACTGAGAAGGGCCGAGAAGACAGAGAACGGAGACGTCGAATGTCTCCAGAATCTGTTATCAAAAGAGAAAAAAGCAATCAACTATTACGAGGAACAAGTTTCAGGTCCTTCTCTCGACACCAAATATATCACGTCCCTCCAGACACACCCCTTTCCTGGCGTTCCTCGCTGCTCTTCCAAGCTCTCCCCGTGAGTCGTGGCAGTTGCTGCTACCGCCCGGTACTGAGCAACCGCTGCAGGACCGACACGGTACGCTCTGAACAGAGCTTTGCCACCACCGCCACCGTCGCTGCCGCCGCTAGCTCCCCACCTCCCTACGGATCCCGACGAGAAGCCACTTCCGCTCCGACTCAGACATGTGTCACACCTAAAAGGCACCGGCTCCGGGTGCGCCGACCTCGTGCTACAGCCAGAGCAGCTCCGGGAAACAACAGCGTAAGGAGAAAAGGCCCGGAAGGGGAAGCAGAAGCTGCTTTCGCAACGTCGCAGCTCCTAATTTTTTCCTGAGCCTCCTTCTTTTCCCCTCTAGGGAATCCAACATGTAGTACCGTGTAGCACTGCCTGCAGCTCAGCCCACGCCCGTCATTTGCAAATATATCTCGTTTTAGGAAAAAAACCATGCCTGCTTATCATCTGCCGTCCTCTCTCTAGTAACCTTAGTAACGCCTCCTCGGAGCATCCTCGCCCCGATCTCAGCCTCACATCAGCCTCTCCCTTTCCCCTCTCCCCTCTGTAAAACAGGTTCTCATAATTAGAACAAAAATAACTTTCCATCGTTTCACCACCCACACAATAGATTCTGTTCCAAATGCAGTGCTGGTGGCAGAAGAACTCATCTAATTTGCCAGGGAAGAAAGAATAGAGAGTAGGAGAGATTTCACGGGGTCGTGGATTCTCTGCCAACAAGCGACCTGGCACATGTGAAAAGGGATCCAAAATAGAATCTTAGAAGAGAGAAGGGGAAAAAAACCACCCTCAGGCAGGAAAAATTAAAGTTAAATTATTTTAAGTGCCACCAAGTTCTTCCTGCGTCGTGCCTTTCTACATGATGACTCCCTACTCTGCTTTTCACTCGAGTTCATGGGTTTAGGTCTTGTCTCCCTCTGGCATCAGCCTTTATTCATCTTTGCTTCTTCCTCACTACCCAACACCGTGCCTTGGAAATCACAGGCGCTAATTAAATATTTGTTGAATTGATTTGGCATGCTTCTGGCTTTTGCAGCGAGCCCTTTTTAGAAAAAAATCCTTGGCACTAGGTGCACATTCATTTTACATTTTTTGCCCAAAACAGTAGATAAAAATATCCTTATCAGTTCAAGGCTCCTTCTATCCCCGACAGTAAATTATAGATTCATCCTGCTTTGCCCAGTGTAGTGAATGTGATCTTGAAAAGCTGTAAGGTAAGTTAAATGATCGTAAATTCAATTATTTCAAAATGTAATTGAATTATACTTCAGTAAAAACGCTGGCTCAAAAAAATTTAAAGTGATAAGAAGCCTCATGATTTAACATTATACTATATTGCAGTCCTAATCGATAACTATCTAAAAACATATACTTTATTCTAAAATCTAACACATCTGTACCTTGTATCCAATTTCCTTTCTACTAGTATTTGGCATTTATTAGCATTTTCTTGCATTCCTAGTATCTTCTTATCTTTTGCTTCATTTTACTCTTACAACAAACTGTTCTGCTCTTATTAGCATCCCCCCTCCTTTTTTTAAACACACGAGGAAGAGAGGCACAGAACCTAAAGCCACAAACCTGGTGAGATTTTATAACTATGCAGTACTTATCGTTCTGCAAGATGGGGCTCCCCCTTCCCCCAACACATGGATTGTGTAGGCAGTAGCTTCTGGTTCCAACATTTCTAAGAATGTCATATTTTTTTGCTGCCAGTCCATTCATGTAAAAATTCCGTTTTTCATTTTGAAGTAGCAGCTACTGAAAGAGAATAAATAGAAAATATATGTTATATGTGTTAAGTATAGATCACATGATCTGAATGAAAACAGGTAGTACAATTCAAACCTGGTGGCACATGCCTGTAAACCCAGTTACTCAGGAAGCTGAGGAAATAGGATTCCAAGTTCAAGGCTCAGGCTGGCAGTGAATTTGGAATCCTACCGGGCAACTTAGGGAGACCCAATCTCAGAATAAAATAAGAAGGGCTGGGAGTGCAGCTCAGTGGTAGAAGGCTTGCCTGGCATGTATGAGGCCCTGGGTCCAATCATAGTACTGGAAAAAAAATCTTAATAAAGGAAAGGAAACCTACCTGATCAGAAAATCTCAAATTAGCAATTATAGCTCAACAACAATAAAAGACACAAATATTTATTATGTGTCTTTCTGAGCAAGGTAGTGTCCTCGATGTCAGCGTTATAGATATATAAAAGCCAATCCTTAAACTTGAAAATCTGAAGAAGACTATGTTGAATAATAGCAACTATATATTCTGTCATATGCCCAGTGCCTACTAAATGTATGAACCTCTGGATCCCAATATGTAAAATGTGCTATTTCAATGAAAATGAAAATGTAAATGTGCATCAATCCTGTGTAATTCAGATAATACAGCAAACACTATGGTAGGTCTGAGAGTTGAGGAGGGAAATTAGAGGATGATGGTGGTAATATTAAGTAATATTTCTAATATAAACTATGAATGTACATTCTGATAATACTTTATAACTTTGAGCAGATTTCAATTTCCCCAAATGGTCACACCAATATTTCCCATTAAGCATGCTCTTTTTATGACTTGACACTGATACTTCTCCATAGTAATTTGGCCCTTTGATTCCTGCCCTGAATCTGGCTAGATATGCTAGTGACTGTAGTAGAAGTAATGCTAAGAATTCAGAGATAGTTACAAAAGATAGAGCTTCTACCTGGCTCTTTCTGTCTTTCTCCATTCCTAGCTCACATAGAGTGGAACAGAGATGAGCTGTCTCTACTGAGCCCTATCTAGACTGTAGATTCATAAGGAAATTAAATGTTTTCCAAGCCACTAATTTTGGGGGTGGTTTGTTATATACCGATAGATAACCAGAACCATATTCTATCTCAATCCCAACAACATTTGATGAGACTTCAGCCTTACCGGGCTTGCTTGATTTTTTCAATATGAATGCTTCTTCAGATTTACCATTCCCTCAATATGGAAAGTCCTCCCTGCCTGCCAAATCTGTTTTTATCCTGCAAACCTTAGCTTGGGTGAAGGAAAAATCTTTCATGACAAATTCTCGCACAGACTAGGTAGGATTACTATGAAATGCACACATTACTTTCTGTAACAATGAGCTACATACATCACACACTGATAATTGAATCCGTGTCTGTCTGCCTCAAAGATGTAAGCTCCTTGAGGTCGGGAGCATGCCTCTTTTTAAATCCTCACTGTTCAGCACAGTGCCAGACACAAATGATTGTTCAAAATAGTCACTGAACAAATGAAGTAGGTACTATCATTCCCCATATAGATGAAAAAACAGATTTAGAAAAATTAACTATTCTAGAGTCATGAGCAAGTAAATGGGAACACAAATATAACTGCCTCTAAAACTCATGCTATTCACTATCATATATATTGCCTTTCAATAAGGTCCATGGCAATATTTGATATTTTAAAAAATTAGAAATCACTTTAATGGAATAAAGTTACAGATAAGTTGAGACAGGAAGATCAGTAAGAGGTGGGAAAGGCTTTGTGGGGGGAAGTGGGGCTTAAGCTATGATTTAAATGTAGATCTTAAATAAGAGGAGAGGAGATAGTCAAGGCTGTAGGGACTTAGTAAAAGATTAGAGGTAGAAATATCCATGGGTTGTGCAGGGAGATATGAGAGGCCACTTCAGCCAGAGCAGAATTTTTGAAAAGGTGTGGTGAAGGAAAGATCATCAAGTGAAGTTGGAACCAGATTTGGGGTGTTCTTGAATTCTGGGCTATAATTTTTATCTAGAGATAGGGAAAAGTTGTAATGAATAAGGTGATGGTTTGAATGGGAAGAAATTTGGATTCAAATTTATATTAAAATTCTGATTCTGCTATTTACTAACTATGTTCCCATTTACTTAATTCAATTTTTAATCTTCTATAAAGTGAGAATAAGAAACATAATGACTTCATAATATTATTGTGAAAATCAATTTAGATGTTGTATTTGAAGAGTTTAGCCTGGTTCCTGTAGGTAGTAAAGCTTAATAAATTTTCACTATTGTTTTAAAGAGGAGATACTATAAGCAGCATTTTAATAACATATTATCCTGTTGGGCATGATGGCATATTGCCTGTAACCCTGCTACTAGGGAGCCTGAGGCAAGAGGATCACAAGTTTGAGGTCAGTTTGAATAACTTTTTGAGACCCTGTCTAAAATAGCTAGGAAGAGAGCTCCATGGTCGAGTGCTTACGTAGCATGCACAAGGTCCTGGATTCAATCTTCAGTACCATAAAAATGAATTAATAAAATAATAATAATATATTATCCTGCTAATCAAATGCAGGAAGGCAGAAATGGCTGCAGGCAGGAGAGGTAGAGAAGGGAGGTTTATCAGTACAGATAGCAGTCAGTGCTGGGAATACAAATGAAGAATTTAAGAGTGAGCTGAAGAAATAAATGGTAGAAGTTGTGACTCATTGGGCATGAGGGATGAAGGATACGGAAGTGAAAGATGCTTCCAAAGCTGAAGAGACAAAAAGAACATAGGGCCCTAATGAAAATGGAGGAAGTGACTTTGCCTTGGGAAATGGTAAGTTGGCTTTGGATGGAAATGTAAGGCTATAGCAAGACATGCAAACACTAAAATACCTCTTCCATGCAAAATTATGATGTTTGCATAGTTTGTTTTAGGAATTCTTCACTGAGTCTTCATTTGCTCATCTTTTTGTGAGGCCCCATCCTCTCTGTCCCTCTCTTTTCCAACATAGTGCTTTTGTTCCTCTCCCAATCAAAGCTGTTCTGACTTCAAAGTCAGCCAGATCCACATTGGATTTGGGTTCCTGTCATTCACTAGCTAGGAGACCTTGGGCAAGTTATTTAATTCTCTGAGTTTAACTTCCTAATCTATAAAACAGGGTAATAATATAGTCCCTATATCATAAGGACTGATGAAATTTAAAATGAAATTATGTGGATGAGATGATTCCCAGCTCACAGTAAGTATACAACCAATGCTGTTTGAGGAAAGAAGCAGATTACAGCCATTCTTTCAGAAAATAAGTTTAACAGTCTCTCAAATGTGGTCCAGAAACAGATCCACACATACAAAGTCCCATAATTAATGGCATTGAGTTAAG